TACCAAATGATATCCCACTGTATGAATATACCACATTTTTTTAATCCATTCATCAGCTGATGGGCATTTGAGTTGTTTCTACTTCTTTGGCTGTTATCACTGTATATTAGTTTAGTCTGGCTATGAACTTCATGTAGTAGACTTATACATATAGGTTTTGTGTGTGTGTGTATGTCTGGCTTCTTTTGTTCAATATTAAATTAGTGAGATTCATCCATGTTGTGGAATGTAGCTATAGTCTGTTCATTTTTATTTTTAGATAGTATTCCCTTGTTTGACAACAGCACAATGTATTTATCCATTTTATTGTTTATGGACATTTAAGACTATTATTAATAATACTATTATGAGTATTTCTGTACATGTCTTTTGATATATATGTGCATAGATTTCTGTTAGGTATATGGTAGGGATAAAATTACCCATCAGCCCTGGCTGGTGTGGCTCAGTGGATTGAGCTCTGGACTGTGAACCAAAGGGTTGTGGGTTCAATTCCCAGTCAGGGCACATGCCTGGGTTGCAGGCCAGGTCCCCAGTTGGGGATGCTCAAGAGCCAACCACACATTGATGTTTTTCTCCCTCTCTCTCTCTCTTCCTCTCTCTAAAAATAAGTAAATAAAATCTTTTTAAAAAATTACTCCATCATAGCATGTATCGTGAATGATCCATGTGGTATTTGTTTTTTCAAATTTAGAATATAACACCAGAGAGTTTTCGAAAGCAGCTGTATCAGTTTATACTCCCAACAGCAGTATATGAGTGTTTCAGTTGCTCACATCTTCCCCAACACTGGTTTTCTCAGTTCTTTAACTTTATCCATTTTGGTGAGTCTATAGTGATATTTCATTGTGGTTTTTATTTGTGTTTCCCCAAGGTGAGCACCTTTTAGTGTGTTCATTGGCCATTTGCATGTCCTTTGTGGGGGAGAAAGTGTTTATTCAAGTCTGACCTTGAACAAGCTTCATATTGGGGTACTCTCTTCCTTTTCTTTTTTGCTTGTAAGTGTTCTTTAAATACTCTGGATTTGAGCTTTTCAAGAATTATGTGCTACAATTATCTTCTTCCTTTGTGTGGTTTTAATGTAATTCAATTTATCATCCTTTTCCTTCATGGTTAGCCTTTTCCATGTTTTATTTAAGTTTTGGGTTTTGGTTTGGGTTTTTGTTTGTTTGTTTCTTTTTTGGTCTACCCCAAGGTCATAAGGATATTTTTCCACATAATCTTCTCAAAGCTTTATTGCTTTACCTTTCACGTATACTCTGCCTGGAATTGATTGGTAGGTTCCGAGATATCTTATTGACTCATTCCACTATGGGAAAAACCACCTGTACCCACTTCTTTACACAGGCATTTTCGTCATGAATAAACTATCAGATATATGAGGATCTGTTTCTGGATTCTCAATTCTGAGACTTTATTTATCGTGCTCCAATCCCATGCTGCACTTGCATCATCATCATCCGCGTTTTACAAATGAGGAAACTGAGGCACAGAGAAGCTATGTAACTTGCCCAAGTAAGTAATTTGCTATTTAACGGCAGAGCTGGAAATGGAACCCAAGGAGTCTGGCTTTTAGGTCCATGTTCTCAGTTTTCTCGCCAGAAGCCTCGGAAACAGTACTGCCGCTGCCTCCCGCTGCTGAGTGTGCTGCCTAACTAAATAGAAAAGGGTGGAGGCCCTGATGCCACTGACGCAGCCCCGAAACTCAGCCACCACTTCTTTTCCAGTCCCACCACTAGGGGGCGCAGGTAACTTAGACCCGCCAAGACGTGCCGCGCACCCGCCCCTGGTTACCTTTCAACCAATCATCAAATATTTACCCAAAACGCACTTCAAAGGGAATGTAAAAGGTTGCCTAATCCAGCCTTTTTGCAGGACTGCAACTAAAAGCCGAACAGAACTGATCTCTGTGTTCTTCAACATCTTCAGCAAGGAAGGAAACCTGAAGGAAACCTCCCACTACCCGGCTAACTCGACTCATTCCTACACCACTTTACACTAAGTCCCTCCTTAAATCTTTTACTCTTCTCAGAATAAAGTAGATTCTTTGTTTGCTGGAAACAAGGAGCAACTGTTTGGCATCCTCATGGCAACAACTCTTCAGAGATGCTTGTAAATAGCGAGGTGTGTAGCTATGAAGTCAAGCCTCAGTTCTCTTTTTTCTCAAAGATATAAAAGCTCACAATTACATTTCACCTCCTTAGCAATTTACACATTTCTTTGGTCTCTCTCCAATTTCTCCATGTCTTTTTTAAAGTGTAAAGTCCAAAAGTTGAGTTTTCACTCCATTATTCTATCCAGTGCCAGATTCACTTCCTGCTTCTTGAATGTTATCCTGCTAACATACCCAAGCAATACTCAGTCATTCAATAAAATAACTTGTCTTTATTAACTTGATGAAGAATTATACAGTCATTAAAATAACAAACGTGAAGACAATGACAACAATATAGAACATGCTCAATATTTTGTTTAAAAATGCATGCAATACTGCATCTCTGCTTTGAATAAAGCTGTGAAGAGGCATTTGTGGACAAAGTCTAGGAGACAACATAAAGATAAAAAAATTGATTTGTTGGTTCTGAGGATTGATGGTGATTATTTCTCTTTATTTTTCATTATTGGTATCATTTTGAGGACTTCTTAAAAATGGGTAAAATCTTTCATTCACTCAACAACTTACGGAGCACTCATTACCTGTAAGACCAAAGGTGAGGTGTTGCAAGGAAGACAGAAGCAGACAGAACAGATTCTGCTGTTCAGAATAATAACAGCTGATGCCTATCAAATGCTTATGATACCCTAAATTACTAGTATCCCTATTGTATAGATTAAGAAAGAGGGGAACAGAGAAATTAACTAGTTTACCAAAGTCACGCAGAGTCAAAGTAGAACCAAAATTTGAACACAAGCATTCCAAATGTGCAAGACATTGGGCTTAACCACCATACACCACTGTCTCTCATAATAGCCTCATAAAATAGGGATAAGTGATATTCAGCAAATATTTGTTGAGTACCTACTACATGTCAAGTACAAAACTAGGTGCTGGGGAACACACTGATGTGCAAAATGGGCACAGTCCCTGCCCTTGTAGAGCCCTCTGTCTATAGAGAAAGTATCATGGGAGTTCAGAAGAGAAAAAGAGCACCCATCTTTGAGGCTGTAGGGGATAGCCATCTCCTTAAACTCCCTGTTCCATTTTTTTTACAGGACCATTGACCTTGTGGAGAGAAAAGGGGTAGGAGAGTGGGAAGAGAAAGTCTCAAAAGAAAAGCGACAGGAGATGGCATCTATTGGTTCAGCAAGCATTTGGAGGGGGTGTCCAAAAATAAGACCAGGGTCAGGACTGGGAGAGACCCTAGGGGTCCTGCCAGCCTGAGACTCTAGTCCCTGTTCAACTTTTACTCAATTAAGTGCCAAGCACTGAACTACACCCTGGAAATAAAACTGTAAATAAGCCTCAGCCCCTGCCCTACAGGAGTTTATAGTCTAATGGGGCAGAGAGACAAGTAAGAATTCTAACACCATGTACTTAGGCCAGTGATAAGAAGCAGCACAGAACAAGATGGTGCACTATGCAGGCTGGGACAAGACAGCAAGAAGGTGAAATTTATACCAAGCAGTGACACAGAGCAAACTGGAATTAAAAAAGGGGTGGGGTGGGGAGTGTGATCCAGGCTGGAGCAAACAGCTTGTGCAAAGCCCTGGAAATGAAAGAGAGCCTAGGATTAAAATGCCACTCTGATTTTTAGAGTGGTGCCAATGAATGCCACTAAATTGCTAAATTCCTTCATTGCTTATTCCTGAGTTCAGGAGGGGTTCCAAGCATAGGCACAACCTAGCGCCAAATTGAAACAGACTGTTCTCCACTTGATAGTCTCAGAGCTCCAATGTGACCCGACCATCTTAGCCTGCCATCAACACTTCATTGCAGGTGGTCACATGCTTCTCTTGCCACTCAGTCAATCAGCAAGCCCAGTGCTAGCTTCCAGAAGAATAAGCGGCGACAGTGTCCTTCATGTATGTAAATCCCACAGGTAATTCCAGGAGTGTTTGCACACAGTGGTGCTGTTGGGTCTACTAAACACAAAACTAGAAGAGAATAAATTCATCTGATGGAATAAATACTCCCTCACTCCACATCTTCCACAGTCCCAGTCTCCACTCTCGGGCCATCTACTGCTGCCCCATCAGGGCACTCCTCCCCCTCCTCAGACTCTGCCACCTCCAAATGTCAAATTGCTCAGCTGAAAGTATAGCTTTCTCGATAAAGGCAGAAGATTATGAATCACAATAATCTGGGTGGAGTCCTCTTGTGACAATGTGCAAGTCACTCACCCTAAGGCAGCCTCAAAGTTTACTTGTCTGTAAACTGAGAATAATAACAACTCTTTCACTGGGGTTTGTTGAATGAATTCAACTGGCCTGAGTTGAGAGTAATAGATGAGACAGTATATATAAGGAGATTATCACATTGTTTGGCATATACAATGTGCTTAATAAATAGTGGGCGTAGTAGAATGGTGTAGATGATGTAACAGATTGAGGTAGATGATGACGATGTTGATGACATGGTGCCGTAGGATGACCAAGATGGTCAGTTCTGTAGGTCAATGTCTGGAGCCACAGCAACCTTCCCCGCCAACCCCCAAGCCCAGGCAGCTTCTTTCTGCGGTAGGCCTTGAACAGGACGCATGTAAGAGATTCGCTGTCGCTCGAGATTCGTTCCGTGCCAGATTTCCGCGGAGAGCTCCAGCTAGCGTCACCGTACCTGCTCGCCAGCAGCTCCCCGGCTCGCAGACACATGGTGGGAACGTGAGGGGGCGGGGCCGAACTCCGTGCCGCTGGTCCAATCGCCCGACGGGAGGGTCTCAGCCAATGGCAGAGACGCTTCAGAGCCCCAGAGGCGGGGCCACAGGGAGGAGCGGCGTCGTCATAGGTCACTGGGGGCGGGGCGGGACCCATAGTGCTGACAGGGGCGGAGCGGCAGTGATCAGAGCAGTCTGGGCGGTGATGGCGGCGACTGCGGTGACGGCGGCAGCAGCGTCTCCGGAACCAGCGGCCGGCACGGATGGCGCCTCCTCAGTGCATTGGTTCCGCAAGGGACTTCGGCTCCACGACAACCCGGCGCTGCTGGCGGCAGTGCGCGGGGCGCGCTGTGTGCGCTGCGTTTACATCCTCGACCCTTGGTTCGCGGCCTCCTCTTCGGTCGGGATCAACCGATGGAGGTAAGGGGCCCCGGGGCGGGGTCGCCGGCTCGGAAGTGGGGGTGGGAGGGACGCAGCCTGGCCTCTGAGGCTCCCGGCAAATAGCTCCACCCCTCGTCCCGCCACGCCAACCAAAGGGGGGCGGTCCTGCTCCCCAGTCCCCATGGGGAATGTGGGTGAGCGAGACCGAGCCGCGTCTCCAGAGGAGAGTCCAGGACCAGGGAAGCAATTAGTCATCGAACCAATGGCTTGGGTGGCCCAGGGCTCGACCTCTGACAGCGTGCTTCGGCACTGTGTGTCGTTCACTTTGGGTCTCAGACATTCCTGTGGGACAGAGATCGTGGTCCCCATTGTACAGATGAAACTCTTAAGCCCTAGAGTCACAAAGTTGATCTGCCTAAGGTCTTGTAGTCAGTAAATGGCAGAATAGAGACTCCTGGTCTGGGGTGTGCCCAGGGCAGGGAGGAAAGGAGATACCATGGTGTGAGAGTAGGGTCAGGTTTCTGAATCTATTCCACAGGGATGATTGCGTTCTTCAAGTACAGAGCTCATTGCTGGGGTCCTGAAGGTCATTTCTAAGCCTATGATTTGGTTGAATTTGTCCTTTCACCCATCCTGGCTTTCCTCCCCGAAAACTGTCCTGCCTCTTAAGGTTTTTAGGGACTCTGGCTTAGCATTAAACAAGGCCAGTTCTGGTCTCCCCTTTCCTACAAATACCTTATGGGTATGTTCAGTTGGTGGCACAGTATGTTCTGACCTAGGGAACAGTACTTAACCCATTTTGGAGAATTACCTTAGCAGCTATGAGCTTGCTAAAAGAAAAAGAGAAAAGGAACCAAAGCGTCAGTTCCACAGCTCCTCATGAGGTTGATTTTAAAGGACAGTTGAGCCACTATTGATTAGGTTTTTATCAGCTGATGTGCTAAGATTACGGAGCAGGAAAGCTGTGATATCAAGGGCCTCTCTTTGATGACTCCCAGAAGATGGAGTCCAGAGGATCATGGGAAAAGAGTAACAAATAGGTTGATTATTTTCTCCATAACTGGTCTTGAAAACCATGGAATTTTGAAACATCGTGTCCCCATCTCTCTTTAAAGTGCCCCTCAGCAGCATCTGGCTTGTTTGCAGTGTTCTGGGGGATGTTTGTTTGTCATCTCGGTGCACTGATGGGCAGGGTTTTCCCAGGATACAGTGGCTCTCAGCACGTTCTTTCCTCTCCAGGGTGTGTGCCCATCCAGAAGAGTCAGTGCTCCTTGCAGCGGGACTATGAAATGCCCCCTCCTACCCATTTATATAGAGGGGATGACTAAAGATAGTCCTGTGGAGAGCCTGCCCACACAGTTTTCAGGCTGCTCTATTGCTCTGCCTCTGCTCCACTTTCCATAGATAGGAGCTTGGGTTTGACAAAGGTCTTCAAATGACCATCACTCCCATGGACGTTAAACCAAGCCTTAGACTTTGCCTCTCTACTTATGGCAGTGTGCCAATCAGAGCAGAGTCAATAGCATCTGCTTGTTACATTGTCACGAAGGAGTTTCTTCTTTTACTGGAATGTAGAGGAGATTGCCTAGGACTGCCTTCTCCTTTGTGGTAGTGAAGATTAAAAAATCAACAACAAAAACTGTTGCCAGTTAAACTCAGCTTTGCTAGGGACAAGGTGTTTATGGATTTTTGTGGGTCACCCTTTCCGGGTGTGCTTTCCAGCCAGCGAGAAAAGAGAAAAGGAACGTGACAGCTCATGCCTGAGTCAAATCCTGGAGTCAGAGGCTGTATAGGAATGCAAATTTTAACTGAGCAATTATTTAACGAGTGCCAGGCACTGCTCTGGATGCTGCTAGGGGCACGGCAGTGAACAAGCAGTTGTGATGTCCAGCGCTCTGGAGCCTAAGTTTAATAGAGGAAGACATGTAAACGACCATAATTTAGTAGAACTAAGTGTCATGAAATAAATTAAAATAGGGGGACAGACTAGAGCAGTGGTTCTCAATCTTGCTGCACATGGGAATCACAGAAGGATCTTTAAAAGCTGCCTGGGCTCCCTCCTCCCCCAACTCTGATTTAGTTGTTCTGGGTTATGGCCTGGGACTTAAGGTTTTTAAAGCCCCTGTGTGCAGCAAAGCCTGAGAAGCACTGGACTAGAGAACCACTGACCTGAGCCTGACAACTTGGGAAGCGTGTCACGGAAGGAAGCCTAATTAGTGTCGGCATTCAGAAGAAACAGGTGAAATAATACAAAATAGGTTGGACGTGATAAGTGCTCCCGGGCCTGGAAACACTTCTGCCACCCCCACCATTCTCTGCTCCCAGGATCAGATCGAGGGCAGAGCTGCAGGCTGTTCTGCGCACCCGGTTGGGGGTTGGGGGTTGGGGGTTGGGGGTTGGGGGTTGGGGAGTGATGGAGCCAGCAGTACTGCTGCATAACTTCCGCTGGCCGTTGAGGATCTGGGAGTGACCTGGGAGTGACCTGGGAGAATTGTGCTGCAGCATAACAGCTCTGCAGATACTTCAGCTGCTACCTCTGAGAAGCCTCCCGAGAAAGGGTAGGTCCTGAGCCATCTGCAAGAGGTGGGGAGAAGCCCAAGCTGTGATCTCTATTATCTCCCTGCACTTCCTACACTGCCTCCCGCACAGCATTTTTCTGCAGATGAATCAGATTCAAATAACCATGAATGGCACTTTCTGAGAGTAAAAGAAGACAGAGCAAGACAACCAAGAAATATGTATACTTATTAGTGTAAGGGAAGGGCTAGCATACTCCTGGCTTGGGTGGTAGTGGGAAAGTTATGAGCTAATTGTAGCTATATGAGCCTCAGGCCCCCCCCTTTTTTTTTTTTGGTCAAGCACTAGTTGGTTAAGCCCTTTGCTTTTTTTCCCCAGCCCCACCTTCCCCAAATATGCTGCATCTGGAAGGAGGTACTGCAGTGAGAACCAATGAAAAAAAAATTAGAGGGGGGAGTAAGCAGCTTCTAGATTTCAAGATGGGCACTCAAAATAGGCCCTTGCAGTTTTTCGTTACCTCTCTCCCTGCTGCAACTTAGGTGTAAGCAACAGCTCACTTCACCCTTGATTTATTGGGTTGGCCAAAAAGTCCATTTGGTTTTTTTCTGTACAATGGTTCTAGTAGTGCATAGCTGTCTTTAACTTCATTTGAAACAATGTGGTTAGATTGTATTGTGACAGCCATCATATCAGCATGCATATAAAAAAAACTTATCAAAATTGGTGAATTTGTGTGTAGCCATTTTAATATTGAAGATGGAAGAAAATAAGCAACATTTTCAGCATATTATGCTTTATTATTTCAAGAGAGGCAAAACGCAACTGAAACACACACATACACACACAAAAAGATCTGCAATGTATAGAGAAGGTGCTCCATACGTGTCAAAAGTGTTTTGCGAAGTTTCATGCTAGGGATTTCTCTCTGGACAATGCTCCATGGTTGGGTAGACAAGTTGAAGTTGATAGCAATCACCTTGAGACATTAATTGAGAACAATCAACATTATACAATCTACCATCTCCAGAGAAGGCCCTAAAGGTCTGCTTGTCTTATTCTCAACCAAAGATCTGCCTGCCTTATCTGTAGGGCTAGCTAGCCCCATGGGGTCATGAATTACAGGGTCTTCTCTGTATTTTTGAAAATCCCAATTTGGTTTTCTCCGGTGCTGTCTGCCTCTGGCCCCAGAGCACTTACGTAATGTAATTCAGTTGCATTTGTTGCCTGATCCAAAGGGTAAGCTTTAAAGGCTCACTCAGGACCATGTGCTCTGAATTTTGGCCATGTGAGCTCAGCTTGGAGCTGCCAAGAGTGAGCTACCAGCCCCAGACACTGCCCTCTCTGATGCCCAGGCCAGTTTTCTTTAGCGCACCCCCTCACTGAAATAAAGAGAAACTGGCTCTGTGGAGAGAAGCGCTGTAAGGAGGCATGGAAGTCCCAAACTTCAGCGCACACCTGCCCCAGTGACCATTTGTCCAGTAGCAGCACTGCTCTGCATTCCTTTGGTATTACGCAGAGCTATCACCTGGCAGGCGTGGAAGGTGGTGCTATAGTAGTGGCTCCTCTTTCTCTGGCTGCCTGAAGCCTGGGGCTCCTAGAGGCCCGTCGCCTCCTCTGGAGGCCATCCTAAGGCCTCCCTTTCTGGAGGAGCCCTGCAGAGCTTGATGAAAAGGGGAAGTTGGAAGTAAGAACATTTCTAGAGTGCTAGCGAGGAGGCAGAAACCAGTATCTCAAAGAGAGAAAGTTTATAGAAACAAGTTAGAAGCAAAGAAAGGCAACATATACACAGAGCTAGAAGTAAAGTTCTGTGTTCTAGAACAGTACTTCTGAAACTTTAACGTGCAAAGGATTCACCAGGGGATCTTGCTAAAATGCAGATTCTGACTCAGGAGGTCTGGGATGGAGCTCAAAGTTCCGCATTTCAACAGGCCCCTGGGCAAGTCACAGCTGTTGATCCTGAGGGGAGCACAGGTCTGGCAGCAAAGGTGCTCCCTGGGCCCTGGGCAGCATGGCATCAGTGCTCAGGCAGTGCGTCCTGGTCAAACAGCAGTGGAGCTTGCTGGTTAAGAATGTAGATACTGCCTGGCCGGGTGGCTCGGTTGGTTGGAGCATCATCCTGTACAACAAAAGGTTGGGGGTTCGAGTCCCAGTCAGGGCACCTACCTAGGTTCCAGGTTCACTCCCTAGTCGGGGCACATAGGAGAGGCAACCAATTGACGTTTCTCTTTCTCTCTCTAAAATCAATAAACATTTTTTTAAATTAAAAAATAAAAAAATGTAGATGCTGACCCACTCCACCTGGGTTTGAATTCTAGACATTTATTTAGGTGATGTTGTTGGTGCCTCAGTTTCCTCACCTGTAATATGGAAATAATAATAGTGTCTATGCCAAACAGCTATTTTAGAATTAAATGAGATAATATATGTAAAACAAGTAGAATAGTGCCTCATTTATTGTAAATGTTCATTAAACATTCATTGTTGCTATTATTATTATTATCATCATCATCATTTGGTTGCTGCTGCTCAGAGTTGGGCCTTCCAACATCACTTATCAAAGAAGAAAAGACTCATTGAGTTACTTGTATTTAAGAGATGGTGCAAGGAATCTCTCCTTTTAGCACAGAGAAATGAAATTCTATAGAGGGCAACTGGAAGCTAGTTTTCAAATGTGCAGACCAGCCTTATTTAGATTGAAGTCCTGTGCGGCCTTGTGGACTGTGAAGGGAGAGGCCCCAGAGTGCGTGGCAAGGACATTCCTGGGAGCTGCAGATGGAGGACCATCTGTCCTGGGGTTGTGTAATTTGTCACCAGTTATCTCTAGGCATTCTGTCTGGCAGGGCCCAGGTTTCAGGTGGCGTGAGGCTATTTACATGGTTCTTTCTTATTCTCCTCCCGGGAGGAGTGGTGAGGGCTGAGAGGAGGCCAACGGCAAGAGCAAATGCGTCACCCACCTCGCAGCTTTCCTCTTCTGAGGGCCGTCAGCTTTTCAAAAACAGACATTCACGGAGGCGGAGCTTTTGGTTTGCTTCACACCCATTCACCCGGTCTGTCTCCTCCAACCTAACCCCTTGGAGGTCAAGTCCCCCATCCCGACCCCTTGGAGAGCCCCTGCAGCTTTGGGCTGGGACTCGGCCTGCGCCGGAATGTGGGCCTGTGGCTTTCACCGCAGTGGGAGTGTCGTGTTGTGGACGTCAGAGGCAGCAGCGGGGGCTGGATCTAGTTGGCAGCCTCAAGCAGTCGCTGCTTCTGTACGCCTCCCATAGACCAGGAGCATGATGTGCTACGAGGAGACACAGCGTTTCACTGTGCTCAGAATAAGATTTGGTGATTCCCGCTGTCGACAGAGGCGGTTGGGCGGTGCTGAGGGGTGGATAGCAGGAGTCTGGCCTGGCAGGACTCAGTTTCTAGGGAAGATTAGAGTGTCAGTGATGACCTGTAGTCAGGTTTGTGTTTGTTGGGGAGAGGGACTCCAAACACAGGAGGGCCTGCCGAATCTCGGCCGCCAGAGCCGTGTTTAGCATGCCACTAAGGGGCCTTAGAGATGGGGGAAAGAGAAGAAAACAGTCTGACCCAGAGGTTCCTATCCCAGTTTCATCACTTAATTAATAAATGTGGTCTTAGGCAAATTAATTATCTTGTCTGTGCCTCATTTTCCTTATCTATAAAATGAGGATAATTTTTCCCTTCAAAATGTGTTAGAGTCCTGGCTGGTATGGTTCGGTGGATTGAGTGTCAGCCTGCAAACCAAAAGTCACTGGTTCAATTCCCGGTCAGAGCCCCTGCCTGGGTTGCGGGCCAGGTCCCCAGTTGGGGGTGTGCAAGAGGCAACTGATCAGTGTTTCTCTCCCTCTTTCTCTCTCCCTTCCCCTCTCTATAAAAAATAAATAAAAGCTTTCTTAAAATGTGTTGAAAGAATTAAAAAGATAACACATTTAAAATGTGAAACAGATATATAGTAACATTAATAACATAGGTCACCTTTGGGGAGGGGAATTAAATTCCTGAGGGACACAGGGGAAGGAAACTTTTTACTTTGTACTCTTCTGTAACTTGAATTTTGAATTATATTAATAGTTATCTATTTAAAATGTTAATTTTATTTCATTTAAAAATTAAACACATATCATAAAATGTACTGATGGAATTTCTTAGAATGGTGATTGTGCCTAGCTGAACAGCTAGTAAATTTTGGGGGTCATATAAAATAAATTTTTTAAAGAATTTATTTTACTTTTTAGAAAGAGGGGGAGGGAGGGAGAAAGAGAGAAAGAGAAACATAAATGTGCAAGAGATGCGTTGATCTGTTGCCTCTCCCATGCCTCCAACCAGGGGACCCAGCCTGCAACCAAGGCATGTGCCCTGACAGGGAACTGAACTCGGGACCTTCTGGTTCGCAGGCCGGCGCTCAATCCACTGAGCTACAGCAGCCAGGGCTAAAATAAATGTTTTTAAACCACTGGATGACATTCAACAAATGTTAATTACCTTTCCCCTTCCCATGATGATCAAGCCCTCAGGCTAGGTCACTTGAATATCTGGAGTCCCCCTAACTCAACCCAAGCCCCATCCCCCAACAGCATGGGAGGATATCCTGTAGAGAAGTACCTTCTAAGGCCTTCTCTCTCTTGGCATGAGAACCTGGTGGCCAGAGCCCCGGAGAGGCCTGGAGAATGAGCCCCCTGCCAAACAAAGCCCTGGGGAGTGGGGACCCCTCCCAGGCTGTGGGTCTGCGGCCGCAGACAGTCACGCAGCCCGACGTGTGACTGCCGAAAGGCAGGACGGCTGTTGCGCAGGGTAGGTAGCGTTCCCAGGGCTGCTGCAGACTCTGCTAACGGGGCCTCAGGCTTCCATGCGACACATTGCACTTGTTTCTCAGATAGCTCTCTCACCTGGTCTCCCTTTTGATCCTGCTATCGACCTTGTGACGGGTGGATATTTACACACAGGGCTAGGCTGGATGCGGAGAAGGGAGAAGTGACTTGCTTCCGATCACAGAGAAACAAGAGTAGGAGCAGCTCACATTTAACCCAGGTTTTCTTTATGCCAGGCATGGTACGAAAGGTCTTCCACGAATGATTTGATTTTTGTTTCTTAGCAGTTCTGTAGTTAATGTTAGATAGATACTAATATCAATTCCACATTACAAGTTAGGAAAAAAGCTAAAGAGGTTAAGCTACTGCCTAAAGTCACGTGGCTAATAAGTGGCAAAACCCAGATTTCAACTGATCCCCTGCCATGTCGCGCCTGGCCTAGACCCGGGGCCCCTCCAGTCCTGGTCCTAATGATACCACTTGTTTGACATAAATGGCGGGCCCGCTTCTCCCAGCTTTGTTAGGAAAGGGGGCAATTCTTCATGGTGTCACCACTAACAAGGCCTCTGTGGGCCCTGCAGGTTCCTACTTCAGTCTCTGGAAGATTTGGACACGAGTTTAAGGAAACTAAACTCCCGCCTGTTTGTAGTCCGGGGACAGCCAGCTGACGTGTTCCCAAGGCTCTTCAAGGTAAGTGTGCAGAGTCTGAGAGAGGACCCCGAGGCTCTGCCCCCAGGGTCTCCCGCAGACTGAACGAGATGACCGCCGCTGCTGGGGAGGCTGGGAGCAGACGCAGCCCTGTCCGCTTGCCGACAGACTGCAACTGTGCTGAGGAGAAAATTCTGTGAAACCAGCGTCTTGCTGGAAAGTTCCCGGCTCAGTCCAGACATGGGATGTGGCAAATTATTCCACCCTGGATACTTCCTTAAATATTCTCTTGGCTCAAGCCAGCAAGATTTATTAGGACTGTTCCCACGCCAGGAGTTTGAGGGTGAGGTTTCCTGTTCAGTAAGGGACGGTCCCTGTCTTTCTTTGCTCTGCTAATTGGGGGGAAAAAAGTCAGCCTTTGGTGCAGAAGAATCGTATTGAAGGAGAAGGTCAAGGAAGGCTTCTCAGAGAAGGTGTCATCTAATAGCATTTTGATTGTCATTCACAGGATAATGAGTATTTAACAATGTAATCTGCATGAACTGCTAAGCCTGGTACTTGGCTCATAGTAAGGGCTCCATAAACGTTAAGTGCTACTATCCTCTGGCAAGGGCCGGCCAGGACCCACACCCCAGGCGGGGCCGAGTCAGGACCAGGCCCGCCCGGGCATGGCCGGGACGTCCACCCCAAGGGGTTCAGAGTGCTAAGGGACCGTGGCCAGAGACTTTGGCTGAAATATGGTTTTCTTCTTGCTAGTTGCATGCTCTAGAGCTTTCTTTAGGTTATCTATGCAGTCTTTCACAGGGCAGCTTTCTTTCAACATTGCTAGGAGATCTAGAAATTTCTGTCAGAAAAATCTAAATACTTAGAAGAGAATCCTCCCCCCTCCCCGTTTTTTTAAAACACGTGGCCCCTCCGGTTTGATTGCTGTGACCTCTGGACTAAGGCTTGTCGCTCCTTCCCGACTCTCTGAGAGCTGGAGCCTATTAGCTCTGTTTGCTTCTGGCCTCTGGACTGTTGCTGTGGAAACCGTTAGGGCACTTCACGTAGTACAAGTCTGCCAAGAGAACTAGGCCAGAAGTTTGCAGGGCCGTGAGGAGCTCTGGGAAAGGCTTGCCGCGCGGCTGTGCGTGTGTGTGTGTGTGTGTGTGTGACAGTCCTGTCCACCGCTGTCTCCACCAGTGAGTCAGTGCCTCTTTCTGGGATGGGGGCTCCCCTGAGAGCACTGTGTTTATAGCCTCCTGCTGCACCTCCCTACCTCAAGGACACAGCAAGTGCACAGGGCTCCCCACCTCTCTCCTGACCCCACAGAGGCCGCTAGCCTCAGACTCTGCTGGTGCCCTGCTGCCGCCCTCACCTCAGAGGCCTGCCCTTCTCAAATCTGTGACCCCCGCTCCCCCCACCACCTCCACCTCTGGTGTTTACTTTGCAATTCAAATCACTGTCCCTGCTCTGTTCTGCAGCCTGTTCAGACAGTTCTCCAGGCTTGCTCTGTCTCCTCCAGGAAGGAGCTGAGTGCCCAGCTTCCGCCTCCCCGCTTCAAGCAGTGTTTAGCATAACAGATCCTCTCTCCACAGGAATGGGGGGTGACCCGCTTGACCTTTGAATATGACTCCGAACCCTTTGGGAAAGAACGGGATGCTGCCATCATGAAGATGGCCAAGGAGGCTGGTGTGGAGGTGGTGACCGAGAACTCACATACTCTCTATGACCTGGACAAGTAAGAGATGGGTCCCAGGGATCAGGTTACCAATTGTGGGAGTTGGTGCTTTGGGCCCCTGCTGAGTAGAACTTGGAGGTTTAGCAGTAGGGCTACCTGGGACATGAGGTATGGAATTTTCTAGAAGCATGGAACCGAGTTGGGCTTGTAAAACAAGTCACAGAGAGCTTTACCTGATTTGGGTGCAGAGAGGCTCATTGGGCCCAATGGATGGAAGCAGTGAGCACCCCCACTGAAGGTCTTCATAGATCTGCTCCTGATACGCTCCAGTCCCTTCCACTCCTCATACTCCCACCCCTGCCCTGCTCCCAAAAGGCTGCCCTCTGACCTCAGCAGACCTAAACGTTACCCCTCCCAAAGGATAGGACCTTCTCACAGGCTCGGCGTCTGTACCTGAGTTCCCTGGGCTCCCCTGGCTATCTGGGTTTCCAGGTCATGCATTTAGACGTTGCTCAGGAGGCTCTAGAGGTCCCTGCAGGGAGCTGTTAACTACAGAGTAGCCTCCTCCTCTGGGGACAGGCCTCTGGGCTTTCAGAGATTCTGGGAGGAAACCCTTCCCTCCCCTTCCCTGGCAGAGCCTTTATCCTCCTGCTGCTGCTCTCGCTGCCAAGCCGGCAGCCACTTCTCCCTGCCCCCCTCCCCCCCAGCCCAGGGTGGCTGCCAGGAGGCCGGGTCACACAGCTCTGCATGTGAGCTGAGCTCTCCTGCAGGCAGTGCTGGGTGTGGAACTCCTCCTCCTGCCACGTGCAGAGCTGGAGGAGGAACAAGGAGGCCCTGCAAGGGCAGCAGCCAGCCTCCAAACTCCCCTAGCGGAGGAGTCTAGGACAGAGAGTCGGGCTGAGAAATGAGCTCACCCAGCCACCCATTTGCGTAAGCTGCTGCTTTGCCAGGAGGGCCCCGGGAGTCTGGCTCCAACCCATCCCAGTCCATCCTTATGTAAACAGCCTCAATTCTCCACACTCTCCTACATCTTTTCTTCTTACCTGAGTGCCACTGTGTTTTCCCTTGTTCATGAAAAAAATACTTTATAAACTGCAAAATACCCTTAACATATTAGCTGTTGCTATTAATAGCTCCAGCCGCAGTCTCTGATTTAGGGAGGAGAGGCTGTCCTTGTCTCTCTGTTCTAGGAAATAGGGGCCAAGAAGGGAATAATTGTCCCACAAAGGAACAGTTTGCAGCCCTCATCAAACCAAGGCTTAGGCTGGGATAGAGAGAAAGCTCCATGGAGATTCCCCAGCTGGGGCAGCCACGCTGAGTACCAAGAAGGCTAGTGGGGGTTTTTCTGTGATTAGAGAGATCTGGTCAGTCTCTGTCTTTAGGCGGCACCACGTCGACACCAGGGAACCTGGAATTGAGTCCCAGATTTGGCCCTGCCTTGCTCCATTACCTGAGGCACCTGTTCCAGCTCTCTGGGCTTCATTTTCCCTCTCGGTAAAATGGAGGTGTAGTTTCTTTTGCCTCTCCTTTCACTTAGGGGTGGGGCCTGTGAGCAGATAAGAAAAGGTACCTCCAAGCCTTTGAAGTCTGGGCTCTTCTGGGTGGGTAGGGACCTGAAATGAAGGACCTCGTAAGTGACCTTAGGTTTGCTTTGGGATTTCCAGGATCATTGAACTAAACGGACAGAAGCCACCCCTTACCTACAAGCGCTTCCAGGCCATTATCAGCCGCATGGAGCTGCCCAGGAAGCCCGTGGGCTCCGTGACCAGCCAGCAGATGGAGCGCTGCCCGGCCGAGATCCAGGAGAACCACGACGAGACGTACGGCGTGCCCTCCCTGGAGGAGCTGGGTGTGTACTTCTGCCCCACGGCTCTTAGGCCGGCACCTCCTCTTTTGTAAAATACCTTATTGGGTTTTTTTCTTCTCTGTCAAAGTAATGCGTGTTGTTATAGACAGTTTGGAAAGTATAGAGAAATGAAAGTGGAAATAACAGTCACTATTACCTGCCACTCAGAGATAACCACTGCTAATTTTGGAATATGTCCTTCTGGTCTTTTTTCTGTTTATACTTATATATGTAACCTTATGTTTGTAGTTCATGCCTCTGTTTTTCTACTTTTCTCTCTCAAGTGATGTAGGCACGGCCTGGTGCCGGCACCAGCGGGCTTTGCAATACCAAGACAACTAATAGCACCTCTGTAGAAGCAGGGGGGTCTCTCAGTCTCTCGGGTCATTGGCTGCACTCTTTCTCCCTTTCCTTTTCCTCCCCTCATCCCCACTTTTTGATCTGAACAAAGTTTTCTCACCTGAAAACCACAGTTGTTGCCAGCTAACCTGGAAGGGCAACCAGTCCAGGATTGCCCTCATTTGCCTGGAAGGAAGGAGTGGCTGGGATGGGAAGGCAAGGGAAAGGGGAGGAAAAAGTCACAGTGGGAAGAGACGTGGAAAACACTGGAACGTTACAGATTATCTCAGCCCCAGTAGCACCGAGAACGCCCCAGTTCAGTTCTTGCAAAGCTCAAGGAACAGACCGACGCGCCAAGACTTGCTGAGCTGGTAGGGGAAGGGCTGACCCCGGTCCTGTGACCTGCTCCTCCTTTTGCAGGCTTCCCCACTGAAGGACTTGGCCCAGCTGTTTGGCAAGGAGGGGAGACGGAAGCTCTGGCCCGCTTGGATAAGCACTTGGAACGGAAGGTATGGCCCTCAGTTCCGAGCCACAGAACTTCAGATGTTGGCACCCGTGCGGCTGTGGCGGGGTTTGGGGGAGGGAGCACGGGGCCAGGTCATGTCCCCTACTGCCTCTTAGCTCAAAGTGGTTGAAAAATAAACATCTTCACCCTGACCAGTGTGGCTCAGTGGGGTGGGCATCGTCCTGCAAAATGAAAGGATGCCCAGTCAGGGCGCGTGCCTGGGTTGCGGGCCAGGTCCCCAGTTGGGGGAGAATGAGAAGCAACTGATCAATGTTTCTCTTGCACATCGATGTTTCTCTCCCTCTGTCTGAAAATAAATAAATAAAAGCTCTTTTAACAAAAGAAAAAGAACAGTTTCCCTGACGGCCATGACAGCAGCCGCAGCCCCAGTGGCTACTACCGTTTAGCGGGCGCGCACCCTCTGCGGGTCGCTGGGCTGAGCATTTCTGGGTCAAGTACCGGCTTGCTTGTTTTCTTTAATCTTTTCAACAGCCCTAGAAGGTAGGTATTCAGCTTCTCCACTGTGTAGATTAGGAAATTAAGGCTTAGAGAGGTTATGAAACTTGCCTAAGGTCACATAGTAAGTAGAGTAAGATCTCATTTTATGTGATTTTAACACTTACATTAGATTGCTCTCTTTCATCTGTGGGCATGTTCCCCTTAGGAAGAAGGTACCTGATCAGCAAAGTCCATAAGGTTGATTATTTTGTGTGTCTGTGTCCCCCCACCTTTTGCTGGGTCTCTTCCAAGGCACAGATTTCCATTTGCTTGGACCCAGAGAACAAATGGCCCATCTCCTAGTGAAGTGGGAATTGGCCGTCAGCACCCTGGGACTAGAGGAGCAGAAAAGTTTCTCACGCCTGAGGGCGGTCAGCCTCTAGTTTCCTGCTCCCTGCCACCAGCTAACAGACTTGGTCCCTAAAGTCACAACCTCTTGTATTCCTGCTCAGGTGGCTAGGAGATAACAGTGGCACAAGGGGACACGGACCTAAGGCAGGGCTACCTGGCGAGAAGGCTTCCTAGCCTGCAGGTGCCGAGAGCTGGCCTCCCTGAGGCTCGGCAGCCTTGATATCCCCCTTTGGCTGGGCTCTGGGGGATCCAGCTGTCTGTGTCCACATCAGGAGCTTTACGCAGAGATTCTTGGGATGTTTGAACTCAAGGTAGGCCAAGGGGGCAGAAGGGCAGAGATGACAAATGGGATGGCAGAAGCAGAGTAAGACTTAAAAATGCAAAGACCTAACGTAACGGCCCTGTAGGTTATTGTCACCTTAAAGGCGGCTGGTAGAGGAATGCCCCTTAGCTCATCAAGCCCAGGGCTCCCTTTCCACGCAGGCCTGAAGGGCCTCTTCTGTCACGGGGTCTGTGTCAGGACCCTTTAGACTCAGGAATGGCCAGAGGGAATACTATGCCCTGTACACCTGGGAGAGCAAAAGGTGCCTGGTGGGCAGGAGTTTAACCCGTTGCAGGAGGCTCATTTTAACTTCTTCAGTCTCCAAATCTGAAGTGAGCATCTCCTCTTGTCAAGAGGAGCCAGCTGTTAGAAAGACTGCCCCACAAGGCAGGCATGGGGCCTGTCTCCAGACGCACAGCCCACTGGAGATGACAGGCATGCGACAGGGAATTACAGGGTGTTGAGGGCGTCCGAGGATTATGGGAGCACAGGGTTATAGTACTCAGTTCTCGTTTGCAAGTCGGCTTTTAAAACAGGAGTTCTTTAACTCGCGTGACCAAGAGTCCGTCCGGCCCAGCTGGGTCAAGGTGTGCACGTAGCACTGCCAGGAATTCGTTCTCCAGCTTTCAGCTCCGCTTTCCTCTGTGTTAGTTCATTCTCAGACGGGCCTTCCATTACCAGTGGCAAAGGTAATCACCCTCAGCTTATTTTCAGTCTGCTTAATAGCACAAGAGGACATGGAGTGCCTCTTTTCCAAAAGCTCCAGAAGTCCGGGGGAGCATGTTCATTGGCCTGGCTTGGGTCATGTGACTGTTCCTGACGCAGTCACCCTGGCTGGGGACGGGTGCTTTCCCTGGCCAGACTTGCATCAGGAGCCCACTCTCAGAGTTAGAAGGCGAGCTTAGCTCCACTTTACCCACTTGGACTGAGATGAGGGAATGCCGGCCCATCGCAAGAAAATTAGGTGCTGTTACCAAAAAAGGAAGGTAGACTGTATGATCTTTACTGCTGGGCTACCCAATAGTAGGTGAGAACAAGCACCTCTCTATGAATGTAACCTATTATTAAATGAAAAAGGAATGATAGAATTAGAATACCACCATTTTGCAACCCCCAATGATGGCACATTATGCGTTAATGACCTGGTAGTACCATAAAGAGAGAAAATCAGGCATTATATTGTATTTCCTCTGCAGTCTTGCCAAAGAGATAAATCAGAGTCTAACCCAATCTCCAGTAACGATCACCAATTTGCAGGCACCCGCAGGACCGAGGGACGTGCTGAGCTGCACTCTGAGTGTGCAGTGAGCATCATCCAGACTGTGGCAATCAGTACAAGGCAAATGGCCCGGGTTCTTCCATAGAATAGCTGAAGGGAAAAGAAATGACAGGAAATACATAGAGTAAGAGAAACTTAAATAACACAACAAAGTTTCCTAAATGGCCAAGGCTAAACTGTAGTGCCTGTGGATGCACATTTGGATGAAAAAAAAAAACCCCAAAAATGCAAGGAATAGCTGATAAAGCTCTGCCTTCCAAATACGTGATACCAAAACCAAGTTCAGCTCCCTACCACCCAAAAAGCCAGTGATTTGAGAGGCAAGGTCTGGTGCAAGAAAGGGTGGTTTATTTAAGAACTGGCAGCCCGAGGAGACAGCAGACTATGTCGCAGAGACCATCTCACATCTCAGTGCAGGCAGGGGCTTTTATGAGCTGGCAGGGGAGGGGAGGTGTTGGCAGAGGCAGAGCAGTTGAAACGGTGGTGGAGGAGGAACGGGGGGGGGGGGGAGTGGGTCGTCGACTCCCCAAGGAGGGTGCTGTGTGCAATTCAGCACCATCTGCTCCGATAACCATCTTGGAGCCAGTCAAGCAATGGTCTGGTTTTCATTGTCTTGGTTTTATGGTTGAAGGTGAGCAAATCTTCTGGAACCAAAATGCCTGAGGGCTGGAGTCTACTTACTTTGAGATTAGTTCCCAGAGTCCTTTAAGCAAACAGGTTTTTATCCGTACATACATGTGAATTTACAAGTCATCATTTACAGAAACAATGTTAAAAGAATGATGGGGTGGGTTAATATGCTTTGCAAAAATAGAAAAATGCAAGCCTTTTCAATGCAAGGAAGGGATTATTACAGAAGCTGGGTGAGTGGTCACTCCCGGGGCAGGGAGGGACCGTGACAGGGGCGAGCATTTAGGTGGGCTTCTGGAGCAGCCGGCAAAGTTCTAATTCCTGGTGGAATTTTCCTTAGAATAATTCATTAAGCCGTGCATTGGTGCAGCCTCTGCAACTGTATTTTGCTTAACGTAAAAGAGGCTTGCAAAGCAAGGCCAGCAAGGATGTGAGTAGGCCAGTACACCTCGTGTCAGTTAGGGGTACACAGCCTAATACCTGCGGCATCACCTGCCCAGGACGCGGCCTTTAGGCTGAGACTTGAAGGAAGAGTCCAGGCTGACCGAGGGAAAGTGGGTAGAAAGGAGGACAGCCTTCCAGGCCAAGGGCGCTGCACGCGCAAAGGCTCATGGTGGGTGGGGGATCCTTCCAGAGGAAGGACGAGGTATGAAGCTAGAAAGACAGGCCCTCCCAGACTGTGGGGAGCTTAAAGGTCCTGTCGAAGATGTGGGACTTTATCTTGAGAACAACAGGAAACCCAGGGCACTCATCGTCCTGGGACAGGCATCGTAAATGATCATTCTGCTCCCAGTGTGGAGGACTGGATTAGAAGGGGACAAGAACAGGCGCAGGGAGGTCAGCTAGGAGGCCGCCACAGTTGTCCAATCTAGATATGACCTTAGCCCGAACCAGGTTGGTAGCAATAGAGAATGGAAAGGAAAGGACGATTTGAGAACTATTTGGACGGTAGAATTGACAGGACTGCGCGAGGGAGGAGTCCAAGCGGGGGAGCCTGGCCACGGGCTTGGGCAGCGAGGTGCCTTTGCTGCAGCGGGGAGTGCCAGTGGCGGGTGGTTTAAAGAAAAGAGCCTCTTACCCTTGAGGTGCCGAAAGCCCTCGGCAGGGAGCTGGATGGGGTGACCTGGGAGTCGAGGTGAGCGGCCTGGGCCAGCACACAGGCATGGTGAGGGTCTGCAGAGACAGTCTTAGGAGCCACGGGCCTGGCTGAGCTCCCCCAGGAGCGTGGCTGAGGGGCGGACTCAGGACAGAACCCTGTGATGCCAAGGATCGGGAGGGGCGGTGGCTGAGAGCGCCAGCCTGGTGGGAGGCACCGGGAGCATGTGGGGTCCCGAGGGCATGGAGTGGAGGGCACGGGCAGGGGAGGCGGTCCACAGGTCAAGGCGCTGCTGAGGGAGCCAGACACACAAGGACAGGGAACGTCTGCAGGACCCAAGGCATGGAAATCACAGAGATGATAGTGGGAGCCGCTTGGGGGAGGGGGTGCAAAGGCGAAGCCAGACTAGAAAGTGGAGGTGGGTGTGGGGGAAGGGAAAGAGGCTGGCTGCGAAGGGAGGAGAAAGGGCCCGGAGGGAGAGGTCCGCAGGGTTATTGGAAGTCCTTTATTTTTGTTTGGTTGCAAAGAAACAAGATCATATCCCCGATAATGTTGGTGTGGAAGCTGGGGGCAGAGAGATGGAGGGGGGGGGGCGCTGCCGAGCCCTTTGGGGGCCTGGCCTCGGGCAGGGTCACAGGAGGGGCGGGGTGGTATGGATGCAGGTGAGTTGGTAGATTTGGTGGCTGAGCGTTGAGGTGTTTCCCACCTACGGCTTCTGCTTCCTTATCACAAGGAATGAGGGCCATGTGCCCAAGCGTGGTGGGCAAGCGTGGGGCAGGCGGTCTAACAGGGGCGCAACCTTTGTGAAGAGTTTCATCACCGTGAAGAGAAGAAGAGCGTGAGGAGTTGAGAGAGAGAACGTAGTTATTAGATGTAGCGGGAAAAGACTGGAATTGGGGTCAGAAGCTAAATTCCCCCAGCCCTGCCTCTTACCTTCTCTGTAACCCCAGAAGGGTCACAGAACCCTTTGAGCTTCGTTTAGTCATTTTCGAAAGGAGGCGACGATACGCGCTGCCTCAGAGGGTTGTTAGGATCAAGTGAGAACGCCTGTTACAGTGCGTCGTGAAGTAGAGCGCGATGCCAGCAGCAACTGATGATAAAAACATGACTACTAACCCTGTATGACAAATGACCCGAGAAGTGAATGACACTGTGGGTCCCCAGGAACGGGTTGGGAGGCCCTCCTTCGGCAGCTGCTGTCGAACAATGGTGAGAAGTCCCTGGGGAGCTGCAGGGCGGCCGCAGCCTCAGCAGCCCGGTGATGAGAGTGGGGACTGAGACAGGGACATATTCTCTGTGAGGTAGAAGCCTTTTGTTCCTTCTTCCAACTAATCACAGGGCATTCAGCGCTCACAGAATTCTTTCCTACCTGCTATTTTATTTAACCCCTGGGAAGTGGGAAATTTGTTCTCATTTAATAGGTAAGTAGCTGAGAGACTAGACAGCTTGTTCACCATCCCACCCTAAGTTAAATAGCACAGTCAGGGCAAGAGCTTGGGCTCATTTTCGGTCTAATGGTCGTTCCATCGGAAATTTGACCAGCATGAAGGAGTGAAATGAGCGCAGTGTTCAAGCCCTGGCTCCTGCCTTTCTGCTCAGTGACCGTAGGTAGATTCCCAATGACCAAGGGCCTCAGTTTTTTCCTCTGTAACACCCTGGCCTTTCCTTTCTTCACCTCCTGTTTCGCTGCAGGCCTGGGTTGCCAACTACGAGAGACCCCGAATGAACGCCAACTCCCTCCTGGCCAGCCCCACGGGCCTCAGCCCCTACCTGCGCTTTGGTTGCCTCTCCTGCCGCCTCTTCTACTACCGCCTGTGGGACCTGTATAAAAAGGTGAGACACAGTTGGGGTGGCACGCCCCGCCTCCAGCTGCAGCAGGGGAGACGGGCCCTCCGGGCCTTCAGTCACCGTGAGAAGGGGCCTTCCCTCTGGCCCTGGGGGGGGACGACTGGGTTGTGGACCCCGGAGGTGCTTAAGGGTGCGTCTAGTCAGAGAAGGTGGACAGGAGTCCACATCCAGGAGCTGGCGGGGCGAGCACAGCCCAAACTGCTGGCGAACAGAGAATCCAGGTAACCAGGCAGGGCAGGACAGGCAGGAAAGCCGGCCTCAGGGTGTGTCCCCAGAGCTGGCGGACCTGCTGGCAGCCCGTGGACGGGGGTGGGACTCCGATGGGCAGCAGGGAGGGTGAGGCTGGCGCCAGCCCTCAGCAGAAGAGCGCGGCAGCCCTGTGGGGCTGTGTCCGGAGCATTAACAGGGGGAGCCCAGGCGTGGCAGGCCGCCACCCACCAGCGGTGAGGAGACCCGGAGGGCTGCGTGCGGGGCCGGGCCATGCAGACCGTAGGCGAATGTCCCTGTGGTGATGCCCTGGTCCCCAGACAGAGAGGGCAACACAGCCAGCTATTCAGTCATCAGATCATCTTTGCGTCTGTTGTTTCACGCTTCCCGATCCTCGCCAATACCGGGATTCTGTGGCATGAGGTGGCTTTGACGGATTTAGTGGGTAATCTTGTGACTTTAGGAAAGTCATTTGTTTGGGGGTCTGATCTCTTAACTCCCTCATGGCCCCAGATCCAGGCTATTGTATATAACTTACATAACCAGGATGTAGACTGAGCATTTTTATATGCATGGTGATGGGAAAAGTCCCTTGACGTTCTAGAAAGTGGAGATGAAAAGGGAAACCCTCGAGGATGAGGATTATCGTCCAACGCGGAGGGCTTGGTTCCCAGTGCAGAGTGCAGCAGCGACACCCTTTCCCCGGCCACCGCCCTACCTTTCCCAGCCGCGCCGCGGTGCCAGCTGCTTCCAGAGCCTAGTCCTTCCACATGCCCAGGGAGTGTGGGGCGACCAGGTTCGCGGCAGCTCCAGATTCCTTTGTGGGAGAGGCCTGGGGACACGCTGATGAGCGCAGGGCGAATGCTTGTATCCACGTCCTCCTCCTCCCCCCCCCCAGGTGAAGCGGAACAGCACGCCCCCCCTCTCCCTGTTTGGGCAACTCCTGTGGCGAGAGTTTTTCTACACGGCAGCCACCAACAACCCCAGGTTTGACCGCATGGAAGGGAACCCCATCTGCATCCAGATCCCCTGGGACCGCAACCCTGAGGCCCTGGCCAAGTGGGCCGAGGGCAAGACAGGCTTCCCTTGGATTGACGCCATCATGACCCAGCTGAGGCAGGAGGGCTGGATCCACCACCTGGCCCGGCACGCCGTGGCCTGCTTCCTCACCCGCGGGGACCTCTGGGTCAGCTGGGAGAGCGGGGTCCGGGTGAGTGCTCGCTCATCGGGGAGCTGGCCTGTGCCCTTTGTTGGGCCCAGCCAAGGGCGGCCCGCTCTGTGCTGGGGGATGGGGCGGGATCCCTGGGTCCAGGAGATCCCCTCCAAACCCTCCTTGCAGGCTTTGAGGGCGCAAGGAGGGTTTGCGGGGGGGGGGGGGGAGGTTCCAGCAGGAGGGCTTCGGCTCTCTTCTCCACGGGGCAGGTGGTGACGTGGGGAGAACCACGGCAGTGGGCGCCCGGGAGGCTCACACCCCGCCCCACACCACCTAGGTGTTCGACGAGCTGCTCCTGGATGCGGACTTCAGCGTGAACGCAGGCAGTTGGATGTGGCTCTCCTGCAGCGCTTTCTTCCAGCAGTTTTTCCACTGCTACTGCCCTGTGGGCTTTGGCCGCCGCACGGACCCCAGTGGGGACTACATCAGGTGAGGACGCAGACCAGGCTGTCTGCCTTCCAGCCACTGTGGCCTCCTCCTAGGACAGGTTACTCTTGACCCCTTGAAGGAGGGTCTCGGTGTGCTGATGGGTTGCCTGGCATGTATGTTTCAGGCGATACCTGCCCAAACTGAAAGGGTTCCCCTCTCGATACATCTACGAGCCCTGGAATGCCCCAGAGTCGATTCAGAAGGCCGCCAAGTGCATCATCGGCGTGGACTACCCACGGCCCATTGTCAACCATGCCGAGACCAGCCGGCTCAACATCGAGCGGATGAAGCAGATCTACCAGCAGCTCTCTCGCTACCGGGGACTCTGTAAGGAGCCATGGCTCCCCGCCAGCCCTAGCTCGCTGAAAGGAAGGGCGGCACCTGTGGGCTCGGGGTGTAGACGGGGATTTCCAGAGGTTTGCCCAGGGAGACTGAGCGCCGCTCTCCAGGTGGTTATGTTGACTTGCCTTCCCACTGCCCAGGACACTGCACGCGGGGCTGGATCGGGCTCCTGAGTAGTCGTGGGAACCTCGGGGTCATGGCCCGGGACCCCTCACCTTGTTTCACCTGCCCCGCAGCCCTCGGCAGTCCTGTGAGAGTGTATTCCAATTATCCCCTGCCTGTCTCCCAGGTCTGCTGGCGTCTGTCCCTTCCTGTGTGGAAGACCTCAGCAACCCGGTGGCAGAGCCCAGCGCGAGCCAGACGGGGGGCACGAGCAGTGCAGGTGAGCAGCGGCTGGCCTGCCGGGGCCTGCGCCCGTCCCGAGGGCACGGCAGAAGCACCCCCACTTCCGTCACTGAGGGCTGGTGACGAAGGCCAGAACCAGTTTGTGCCCCAGTGGGGCATAAGCAGTGCGGGAACCATGCGGATCACTTCTGATAACAGAGCTTCGGGGAAACAACATTGAGGGACCCGGTCAGAGGAGTGCTGGGCGGGGGTTGCTCGGGTTACCTCAGGCCGGCGTGGTCGGAGCGCCGCTGTGAGCAGGGGCCCGAGTAGTGAGCAGAGCCAGCCTTGCCAAGAACTGAGGGAATAGCATTTCTGCCAAAGGGAAAAGCAGGAAAAGCCCTAGAGACAGATCAAGCTTAGCGCATTCAGGGAACAAAAGCAGGGAGGCCAGCGCGCCGGCATGCCTCAGTGGGGAGCTGGAACGAGAGACGAGGACAAGGAGGAGCAGGAGCAGCATCCTGCAGGCTCAGTATCCACAAGGGGGACTCGGAGTCTGTCACCAGTACACTGGGAAGGCATTGACCGTCGGCCAGCGGGGGCCGGGGGGGGCTGATGGGATTGATGTTTTACAAAGCTCACTGTGCCTGCTGCGGAGCGGGGTCAGTGTGGGCAGCGGTGAGTGCAGGGAGGCTAGAAAGGAGGTGACCGCAGTTGTCTGGGCAGGCGATGGCAGCACAGCCCAGTGGGGGCAGGAAAGAGAAACAGATAGACTCGCCGCCGCCTTAGCCTCCTCTCTTGGGCTCTGGGAGGAAGGTCAGTAAGGTGGGACAGGCCAGGACTCTGGGGGCTTTTATGGTTTGCTCAGGTGAGGGCGCTGCTCCTTCCTGCCTCAGGAGGCCAACCCAGCATTGCGGAGGGAATGTCTCACCCTCAGAGAAAGGAGAGCAGACAGGCCGAGCCAGGCCTACAGCCCATGAGATGCGGGGCCCAAAGGCTGGCCCTGCTGTCCAGCAGTTCTGGTTGTGCTCTCCTGGCACATTTCAGGCGAGGTCACTGCTGAGAGGAAGGCCGGGGTCCGGTCCGAGGAGCAGCGAGCTGCCATTGCACTGATGAGTGGGCTCCCTGCCGCTGAGGAGCTGCCATTGCGCAGTCGCGGGTCATCTTGGCCCCACACAGTCTGTGACCATTTGACCTGCATCCCTACAGGCCCCAGACCGCTACCCAGTGGCCCAGCGTCCCCCAAACGCAAGCTGGAAGCAGCTGAGGAGCCACCTGGTGAAGAACTCAGCAAACGGGCCAGGGTGGCTGAAATGCCTGCCCCAGAGCTGCCGAGCAGGGACGTCTGAGAGTGAGTAACAGCAGCTTAGAGTCAGCGTCAGGAGCCGGGTGGGAGACAGGCGGGGGCCATTTGGAAAACTGCTTCTTTTCTAGCTGAGGGTTAAAACCCAGCAAACTAGATTTAAAATTGGTGGGGACTGCATGATTTATCAGGATTTCAGTTCAAAAATTCCACCATTCTGACTTATATACCTTCTGAATGTTAATTTAAAAGTAAAGCCCTTTGCCAGCAAAGGGGAAAAATTAGGGATGGATTGGGGCTCTTTCTACTTACCAAAGTGAGTCAAATCCAACAGAAAGAAAACAGGGACCCGGATGGGAAGCTGTGGGAGCAGTGGCCCTGCGACAGGCTCTGAGGATGCTCAAGGCGCCTCTGGCGCGCGCGCATGCGTGTGCACACGCATGCACACACGCAGACACACACACACCCCACCCCCACCCCCCGCCCGCCAGGGTGTGTTCTATAGACAGGCCAGGGGAGGGCAGCACTTCCGTTCAGAGGAGAGGCTCCTCAGCCCAGCCCAGCCTCAGGACCAGTGGGCGGGGCTCCCCATCATCTGTGCCTCTTAACAGCCACCGCTCCATTCTCACTTTTCTCACAGCTTTGGCTTTGTGCTTTCCTCTTAGCACTCATCTTTCTCGGAAACCCCCTGAAACTTGTTAAAGAAACAAACAAACAAAAAAAACCCTGACTCCTCCTTCCCTAGAGCAGGAATGGCCTCTTATGCCTTTCTTGGAGAAATAGAAATTATTATCCTCTTTGAGTCATCATTTCGGGCTGTTCCTTATGTGCCATGAATGCATCATGAGATAGGAGGGTGATTTTCTCCATGGAGCCAATTGATTGTTTTTTCCAAACCCCTCCCCTTCGGGGCCAGGCAGGGCCATCGGTTTGAACGTTCAGGCTGGAACGCAGTGAGATGGCAGGCGTTTGATGCTTGTGCCCTTTACCCCGCCGGGGTCTTTGTCATAGACAGAGCTGATGGACAGGTTTGTGCTATCTTGTTCTAGGAGCACCAGCCGCCTTAGATACTGATCTCTCAGTTATCTCTTAGTTCTGGAATACCAAGCAAAGTTCATTTTGTTCTACAAATCTGGAACTTGCCAGGCTGATATTCTGACTTCCAGGTGAGAACACCAAAGAACAGAAGTTAAATGTCCAGGTCAGGGTTGCTCAGTAAGCTAATGGCATACAGTTCAGCATGAGATTGTTGCCAACAGGTGTGTGAGAGACAGGGGAGCCCAAAGCATATAAAACAGCATGATGTATATCCACAAGTCTTAGCAGAAAAAGAAGAAAAGTAACCTAGGATTCCTAGACAAGTGATACGGACTCTATAAACTTATCACACAACAGCTATTGGTAGGCCAGAGTGATCAGGGAGTACAATGTAGAATTTTACACTCGGGGGCCTGATGAGGTGGATTTAGAGGGCATTTCACACAAGAAAAACAGCTTAATGATTAAGTGATCTTGTACAAATTACTTAACCACTTTGACACTCAGTTTCCTTACCTACAAATTAGGTTGCTATAGCAAAAGTTAAATGATTAAATAGAAGTGCCGGTTAGGAATATCTAAAACAAATAGGGAATTATTTTCTTACCTAACGAGAGGCCCGGAGTTGGGTGTTGCTGGTTTTGGTTTGGTGGTTTTACAGGGCCAGAGCCAGCTTTCCTCTTGCTTCATGGACTCAGCGTGGCTGCCACAGCTTCAGCCATCAATTTCTCATCCAAAGCAGGAAAGAGAAGGAATAGCAGGGACAGCTGTACTCATTCATTCAGTAAACATATATTAAGTGATCACAATTTGCCAGATGCTGGGATTGTAGGCATTGGGATATGAACAAGACTTACAAAGTTCCTTCCCTCTTGGGTACTCCTAGTGGGAGGAGCCAGGCAATAAACAAACAGATATGTAATATGTCAGGAAGGCCCTCAGCGGTATAAAGAAAAAGTAAAGTTGGTTAGGAAGATGGAAGATAGAAGGTAAAGGTTAGGGCACAGCGAAGGTTGCAGTTTTACATTATAAGGCTTGTCAGGGGATGCCTCTCCTCGTTTTATCAAGAAAATAAAAGTTTTTCCAGAATACCCTCCCCCAGCTTTTCACATTGGTCCCCTGAGCCAGAACTGAGCCATAAAGCCACCCCCAAGAAGGGAAGTAGGGATCCTGCTTGTCTAGATTGGTTTAGACCATTGGTTTTTCAACTTGAGTGAGCAATAGAATCCTCTAGAGAATTTAAGCCACAGACTGCTAGGCCCCACCCACAGAGCTTCTGATTCAGTAGGTCTGGAGTGAGACCTAAGAATTTGCATTTTCGCCCTGGATGGGTAACTTGGTTAGAGCACCATCCCCACACACCACGGTTGCAGGTTGGATCCCTGGCCAGGGCACATGCAAGAATCAACCAATGAATGCATAAGTAAGTGAACAACAAACTGATCTCTCTCTCTCCCCCGCTTCCTCTCTAAAAATCAATAAATAACAATTTTTTAAATAAGATTTGCATTTCTGACAAGCTCCCAGCAGTTGACAATGCTGATCTGGGACTGCACTTTGAGAATCACTGGCCTAGACCAATCATGACCCATTGTCAGGGCCAGGCCCATGGCCCGCTGAACAAAATCTAGGAAGCGTGGACAGCGAAGAGTACATGCTACACAAGGCACTTAGCCCAGTGTCTGGCTAAGTACCCAGGAAATAGTAGCTCTGATAGTGATGATGATGATGGCGGTGATAATGGATATTGTTATCATCATTATTTTGAAAGAACATAGGTTACACAGTTGGGTTTGATCGTGGAGTGCCGTAAATGGCAGGCGGACGGTCCTTGGTGTACTCTGCGGGAGCTCAGGGCTCTTGGAACAGGAGAGTGGAGTGATCGGACTGGCGCTTCCGGAAGATTAGCCAGACATTAGGCTGGGACCTGCAGAGGACACGGTGGCGGGAGGGAGCCAGCTAAGAGGCTGCAGCAGCGATTCCAGGTGTCATTACAAGGATGCAGACGTCAGGGCTTACGTCTTGCCTTGTAGTCCAGGAGATTGTCCATCAGCCTGTTGGGCTCTTAAGGACTAATTCTCAAGGTTTACTCTGACCTTGATCTTGGCTGACTGGTTGGAAGTAGGGGCCAGGAGGTCGGAGGACAAGCCAGACTGGGGAAGAACACCTGTGTTCTTTGGACAGCCTGAGAGAAAGGAGTGCTTTTGTGTTTCACTGCGTGCTGGGCACAGCCCCAGGCCTCAAGCGCTTCAGCACCCTGTCCGTTACATAGCATCACGTCACCTACCGTACCCACTGAGCAAACACGTCAGGAAAGAAGATGAAAACGCGTGCGTGAAAAGCCATGGAAAAAATATAATTCACCACGCAGATGAAATCACCTTACCATCTTGCACATGCTTGTCAGGGTGTCTTTGACTGTGTCTTCAGTCAGAGCCAGCACACTGAGCCAAGGGGATCCCACAGCAGTGGTCTAGTGGCTGAAGTGGTTGCAGTGTTACATCGAGAGGCAGGAGACTTGTTCCTTTCTCCACTCCTCCCTGTCCGTTTCTGTTGTGTGACTGGGTTAGGATAGTAACCTTTCTGAGATGCTTTAGACGTAAGGTGTGAGTAGTCACTCTGCACCAGCCGAGTCTCCATCCTGGACCTTTTGAGGCCGTGGTCAAGCTGTGTGCACTGTATTTTTGTGATTCTGCTGTTTCTAATACTGAGGGCCTGTGGCCGTTCACTGGACAGACAGTGGTTTACAGTTTAAACCGATCTTGTGGGAAAACATGCCCTCACAGCAGTAGGCTCCATGCTTACCTCAGACCCACACCAGTGTCCGTTCTGCCTTTGGTGCCATTGTACAATGTTCACCAAACTGAAAAATAAGCCAGTCCCCAAATAGCTATCATTTCAGCTGCTACCCCATCATCCCCGAAGCTGCTGATGGCTCAGGATTCCATTAGCCTCAATTGTGTGCAGATTTCTCTTACTGGTCCAACCATTTTACCACAGGGGGAACAGCACGCGATCCGTTTGCCTTTTTGCTGGTACAGCGATCTGTTGAGAGAAGCCCATTGAATACAAGAGGCGCAAGGCCAAGGATCAGCTCTTCCCCTCCCCTCGGGCAGTTTATCAGAACTTTGTTAGCTCTGGACCCTCACTGGGGAAACCCTGATTTCCGGAATCCTTTCCTAGAAATCTTTTTGACGCTTTTTTACTTGTAGATCCCTCCTCACATGAAATAAAGTATGTGAAAAGCACTGGGCAGCCTGTAAAATGGTACACAGAAGCCTGGGCGGTGTGGTATTCGGAAGAGAGCCCGGCTCAACACTCGCATTGACAAGTGTTTGCATCTGTCCCGCCGCTCAGGGCCTGGGAGCCTTCACACAAGCTGCCTCGCCCCTGTGGTTCAAGAGGAGAAGGTGGGACGCTGTCCCCTCGCACTGCTCCTGGCACCTACTCAGTAGCTGTTGGCTGATCAAGGCCCCTCCCTTTTGCAGTGTGATTTGTAGGGTGCAGGAAGGGTGCACGGGTGTGGCTGACTTGAGGAATGAGACCGAGCTTAAGAGCTCAGCATTGTGCCCGATCTAGCTAGGCCCAGCCGCCCTCTGCACCTCCCTGCTCCTGACTTGGGAGCTGGTAGCAAACTCTCCGCCCCTGTCAAGTTCTTGGGCACTGGGCCTCACCAAGTACCACGGGGAGAGGGTGGCAGCTGAGACTTGGTTCCAGGCTCCAAAGCCTCCTGCAGACCTGGAGCCAGCGCTGTGTCCTCTGCTGACAGCTCATGTGTGCACCCCCCGCCCCTGGACTTGGATGGGGGAGGGTCGGCCTTGCAGATATGGGTTTCTTGTTTGCATCCAATGGACAGGAAGGATGTGAGGGCACAGGCCCCCACGGGCTGCCCTAACCAACCACGGACCCACTGAAGGAGGTGGTCATTAGTTTGTTTTGTGTTCCAGCTGCTTCTGTGTTTCTTCTATTAATGACAGGGTGAGAGAGTTGGACAATCAAAAGATTGATTTTTTCAGTGCATGTTTTATGAGTCGATTTTTCCCCTGATGCCTCTCCCCTGGCTGTTCTTCCTTTTCCTTTTGTGCTGCTGTCTATCATTTTCCTGCAAGGTCTCATTTGATGTCCCAGCCCCTTTTTCTGTCCCTTAGCTTGAGAACAAGAGCAACAGGACCGCCTTGTTGTCTGCTGATTGAGTACCTTGAGTAGCTAGTCGAACAGGCCTCTGTTGTCATGCACCAGCTGGGACTCAGTTAACCACGCTCGTGTGTGTGAACCCATCATAGAGGGACTTGGGTCACTGGGGCTTGTCCCAGGCCAGGACACTGCCACCTCCCCTCACGAGCATTTCCCATTGCCAAGTCATGGCTGAGTCTATACAGGGCTGAATTGTTGCCATTATAGCCACTGGAGTGCACCTCACGCCCATATTGCCAAAGTTTAGGCATTGGCTCCTCAGCCCTTTTCAGATTACCCTGCTTTGGTGAGTCTAACGCAGGATGGAACCTCTCCCCAGAAAACCGTGCCTATTCACACGCAGAAAACGTGGGCAGAACTTCGGGGTCTTTGTAGGCTGCCTCTAAGCCTCTCCTTGGACCCCCTAAAGGGACCCCAGAGCAAGAGCCCTGTCCTAGGAATCTTGTAACACTCTCTGTTCTGCCCCATGCCTGAAGGTGAAGAAAGCACAGGAAACAGAGGCACTGGGTAGGAGCCCATGGTGGCGTTCGCGCTGGTGCCGCTTCTTGTTTCAGGAGAGGAACTGTCCCTGGCCCACCTAACACAGGAGCCAGAGGGACCCGCGCATGAATCGTACGTCATGGCCATGGGTTTTATAACACAGATACACCTCAGTAATATTTGTTTGCGGTGAAAACATACGGCTAGGCTGTTACAGTACAAGATTAACAGGAAGAGTTGTTGAAAATATTACGCACTCTAAGGAGTGAGGCACTCAGCGCTGACCTGCACAGGTGGCCACGCCTACATTTGCTCTTTAGTTCTCCCAGCTTCTAGCTAAATTCTCTGATGATAAAGTCAGATAAAATCAAGTAAAATCATCTTCAGATTTAACATTTGTCTTGAAAGGGTTTCGTGTGTTGGAAGACTGATTTTAAATCCCTAAGTCCGGTGTCTTTCTGTCTTTGACTCTTGACAGCGTTTTTCCTTTTCTGTAACATCCAAACACAAATTTATGTTGCTCAGCTGTTAGCCCTCCTGCCACCATGTTGAATTTCTTCTTGTTATATTCCCTAAAAGTCTTAATGAGCAATTCAATAATACAGAGATTATTTAGTGGTGAGCATACGGGTCTTGGAATCAGACAGGCCTGGGTTTCCTGTCTTAGCTCTGCTGCCTCTGAATGCTGTGGTCTTGGGCAATTTATTTGTCCTCTCTGGCTGCAGTTTTCTCATCTGTAGAAATGAAAGCCATAGCTCCAGGGCTAATGGGCTGTTTGCTCAGGCAGCCATAGTAAAGCACCACAGACCAGGCGCCTTGATCAACGGGAACTGACTCTCACAGTTCAGGAGGCTGGACGTCTCACGTCACGGTGATCCGCAGGCTTGGTCCTTCCGAGGTCGCTCCCTCGGCTCGTAGACGGCTGCCGTCTCCCTGGTCTTCATAGTCTCCCTCTGAGCTGCCTGTGTCCTAACCTGCTCTTCCTATAAGGGCAACAGTCCTGGTAGGATTCGGGCCCACCCCAATCACGTGACTGAGGCCCCCCTGCCCATTACGTATGATTTGTGTGGTGCAGGGAGGGTATACAGGGCAGTTAACTTAGTCACCTCTTAAGAGGCCCTGTCTCCAAAAACAGTCATATTTGAGGTTAGGACTTTCACATATGAATTTTGGGGAGACACAGTTCAGCTGTAACACCAGTATGCAGTGCCTGGTCCCTAGGCTCAGCAAGCCTTCTTGTTATCTGCCCCAGCATTGTGTCAGCTGACAAGCTGCCCACAGCACGCCGAGTGGCCGGGCTCACGCTCAACCCACGGGGCCTGCTGAAACGGGCGGCCCGGCCTCCTCACTGGCTTCCCTGGCCTGTTATTAGGCATGAGGCCTCTTCTTCCCTCTGGCCCAGATTCAGGGTGTTATAAATCTTTACAATGAGTCATCCTTGTGTTTCCTCTCTCCTCCCCTCAGTCCTCTAGCACAGGGCCATGGCTTTTTTATCTGTATGTGGAAATTTCTAAACTCAGTCATTGCCTTCGTCTTCAAAAATCACTGCTCCCGGCTGACTTCTCTTTCAGGCATTTTTTTCTGACTTTCCATTTCTGGCAGCAGCTGCTCTGCCGTGATTCAGAAACTGCCCTTGTTGTGTCTGAGCAGTGTCCCCCAAGGCTGCGTATGGGCCTCGTGGCCTTCTCCTCCCCCTCCACTGCCGCCTGGCCCTGAGCAGGGGAGGCCCGGAGAGTCTGCAGGGGCGAGCTGATCCCGCAGGCGCCCCGGAGCAGCTGCGCTCAGGCACCTGGTGGCATCCCAGCAACAACCTTGTCCCCAGGCGCGGCAACCCGTGTGGTTTGTGTTTCCCAGTTCCCGGCCTGAGCATCCCCAGAGCCTAGAGCAGCAGCTTGTGCCCCAGGCAACTGAGCAGCCTCCTGAATGTTCCTTTCAGCACTTGTTTTTCTCTTTCAGTGGCAGCGCTGTGGCTCCATGAGCAATGCCCGGGTGCCCGAGCAGCCACCACGGCAGCAGAGAGCAGCCTGCAGGAAAGCTGATCACCGACAGAGATCGAGCCAGCGTGTGTGTGTCTGTGCGCGCGTGTGCAGAGGAAGGAGTGGTGTGCCTATCTGCGTGTGCATGCATCCGTTTACACTCTTGTGATTCTGAATGCTGCCTGGGCTGGAGAAGTACCTGTAAGCAGCTTCACCTCAGCCTTCAGACACCAGGCTAGAGGTCAAGGCTGTGACTTTCAACCACGACCCGTCCCTGCGAACCAATGCCCTGTCTGAACAGAAGAGTGGTAGGACCCTGGCTGGGATTCTGGCATCTGCCCCTCCCCCAGCCCTTCCCATCTCCCTCCTCGCCTCAGACTGGGGAGCAGGAGGGCGATACTTCTGGTTCTCGTCCAGAGCCCTGCTGACTTCGTCCTGACCCTGGAGGCTGAGCAGCTGGAGTAGATGGGTGCTGTCCAGACACAGTCACCTGGTCTGGCGTCTTTCGTATTTTAAAACCCCCTGCCCCTGGGCCCTCTAGACCCTTCCTCAGGCATCTAGGCCGGAGCACAAGGCTATGGACAGATCTGAAAATTTCCGCCATCACATGGAAGCACAGCCATGCCTGTGTGCCTGGTACTGTAGACAGTGGCCTAGGAGGTACAGTTGGCTTTGGGGGGGCTGGCAACCTAAGGGTAGGAATAGCATCCCAGCTCCCGCTGTTGCTTCCCCAGAAGCTGAGAGCCAGCCTCAGAGCCGCTGTGGAGACCCAGTGCCTCCCCCAGGAGTAGGCCATGTTCCTGGTCCTCTGGCCACACTCCAGGGCCCCGCGGCACTGCCACTTAGCTCAGCTGACACCCCCCAGGGGAGCCATCCTGGCCTGGGCTCTGCAGGCCTCCAGGCCCGGGACCGGTCAGTATCCAGGCTGCCACTTCAGCTGTGCCAGAAGCTGGGTGCCGTGGACCCGGGCGGGTGGCCCAGGGTGGGCACTGCCAGGGACGGTCGGGAAAGGTCCAAGCCGAGAGCCCACCCAGCGCACCAGCCTTTCCGAAGCAGCAGGTGGGAGGTGTGACCCAGAGGAGCCAAGGCCTTACATTCCAGGAGTGGCCAGTGCCTCCCACTTCAACCCTCCCTCCGTCCCGTATCGAGAAAAACAGAGTGAAAAGGACTGTGGTCGGCTGCAGCAAGTCTTCCCTCCACCCCGTGGCCTGCCCTAGAGCCACAAAGTGTGTGTGTGCTTTGTGTGTGGGTGTGTGTACGTGTGTGTGTGTGAGCGCGCACTCGCGCACTCAGAGCTGAGAGGCTGATTCCTTTTTGGATTTTTGTCCTCACGTGTAACGTTAAGCTGGCCTCTGGGCCTTTTCCTCTCTACCTCCCTGTGACCTTTCCTAGCCTCATAGCTGTTAACTCCCTTGGCCCCCGCCCCGTCCCCCACTGCCCTCGGTCCTCGGACCAGCCCCCGGGGCCAGGCCCCGTCTCCTCAAGCTGTCCAGCGCGTCGACAGGCTTCTTCCTGAGATGTCCTCAGGCTTTCTCAGCCAGAGAGCTGCCTTTAGAGTCCAACTGTTGTATGTGTGTCACCCTCACTAGAAATGTCCCACAATCGTGTGGGGGGAGCAGGGGGCACAGGTGTGTGTATTTGAAGCCTGGGGTTGGGAACATCCCTATTCCATTAGCCCCGGCGGGGAGGAAAGAGAACTGGCGGCTGTCAGAAGGGGAGAAGAGCAAGCCTGGAAGGGCTGGTCTGAGAAGCGGGGCCAGAGGCACGATTTACTTAACAGCACCTTCAGGTGGCGGGATGAGTCCCTTTTCCTGCCTGTGTACCCCCACTTCCCCACCCCCGGCATGCTGGCCCATTCCCAGCGCAGTGGAGCAGCCCACTCCTGGAGCTAGGAGGAGTGGGGGAAGGGTGTGTCCGGTGGCCTGGAGTGCCGCAGTGGCTTTGTGCCTGCCCTGTCCTGGCCCCGGTGTCCCCGGGGGCTGCCCAAGAGCATTGCCCCAAATCCTGACCCAGGGGCCAGCATGGGGAAGAGATCGTCGCAGGCAAAATGCACTTTATACAGAGATTTCCTATTGCAGGGAAGGTGTGTTTCTCCCACAGTTTGTGAATATTCACTTATTTCATAAATGTCTGATCCTGTCTGAGCAAAGCTGTACTGTTGTCAATTTGTGGGCGGTCTGGGGACTGGGAATCGGTAGGGCTGCTGGGTCTGAGGGAAGCCTTAAGCCAGACCCTCTTGATTCTGCTGGAACCAGGAGCCTCTTACTCCTCCTTGAGGGTGGCAGGGAGGCGGGGCTGGGGAGGGATGGAGGAAGGGGATCCTCCTGGGTGAGCAACCGGAGCTCCAGGCCTTTGTCAGAGTTGGGGGTCAGTCAGCCAGAGTGGCACAGAACACTTCAGACCCAGAATGAGGTAGGATCCCAAGTGCTGTTCTGCATTTATACCCAGCCTTTGACCCACTTAAACCCCTTACGCTGGGGATCAGTCAGGCCCTCAATCCCTTTATCTCACCTCAGCCTCTTAAGGTACAGCAGTGTGGCACAGACGGGAGGCAAGGCCTCTGGCTTAGGGTAGGTGGTCAAGCTCCGCCCACAGCCAAGCCCAGGGCCTGGATGCTGGCTTCGTCTCCTGCCACCCGATCAGAGTGGTCCTCACCGTGCAGCGTGCACGGGCTTTCCCGTGGGAGTTTCTACCTGTGGGCCATTGAAAGTGAGAGCATTAGCCCACATCCAGCTTCCCATGGGAAGCGGCTCAGGCAAGGCCCAAGAATGTCATCAGTTCTCCTGCACGAGTGAGGGAGAAAAGGGGGAACTTGACCCTGGGGATCCTCTCATCCTTAGCTCTGCTCTGAAGCTCCTGATGGCCCTCTTCCTTCTCTTCCTTCTCCTGGCTTCTATCTGATGTGGCCTTGGCTTGGCCTCAGGGGCTAAGAACAAAGGGATACCTATGTTCCTGAGCAAAAGGCCCTGGAAGATGGAGCTGTCTCACACACACACACCCCCCCAACCTGAGGATGCTCTAGTTGAGACAAGCACCCATTCTAAGGAACAGTGAACCACCATGGCAAGGCTGCTTTCACGGGAGGAGAGCCAGGCGCCATGGCAGCACGTGGTTGCTGCTTGGCTGTAGTGAAAGGGGCCTGGACCACGGCAGCAGGGATGGTAAAGTGGCCATTCGGCTGGTCCCGGGGCAGGGAACCAGCTCCACTGTTGGGATATTTGTTCTCGGGGCTGGGGCTGGGGGTTTGCTGCAGGGCTGCTGCCTGCAGCTCCTTTCCGGATGCTCTGTTGAAGGAAAAGAGGGCAGCTCACCAGCTGGCCGTCCAGCTTTGCAAATACGGTCCCACACGCTGTGAAATGCCCCTTCTTCAGAGAGAGGTGACAGAACTGGTGCGGTCCCCCCCGTGGCCAGAGAAGCCAGTGAGGTTTGGCTAGAGAGGCTCCATGATCCACCAAAGCTGGGGCCCTAGCCTTGGCCAGCAGCCTGCGTGTCCAGCAATCTGTGTTCTGTGAAAGGATGCACAGACCTAGCCCTCTTGGAAGAGAGGAGCCTGGGAAGAGACCACAGCATGAACCTAATGGGGAGAGGTGCTGGGAGGGACAGGAAAATCACCAAAAGAATCCCAAGAAAGTAACTGTGGGGGTGGAAGGAAAGGTCCCAAGTCTCAGAACGTGAGAAGCCGGCCATGGGGTGTCTGTGGGTGCAGAGGAGGGAGGCTGCAGTTGAGATGCTGAGTGAGAAAAGGGGACAACCTGGGGAAGTTCTGACACGAAAAAGAAAAAGCCGAGAGCAGCCAAGAGGAAGGGTTCAGTTCATCATTAGTAGCTGTTTGGGGCTGAAAGGGGACTTGGGTCAATCTTGAGAGAGAAGACCCTCTAGGGAGAGTCCTTAGGAGGGTCCTCTTAAGGTCAGGGGACAGGATGGGCTGAGACCCGGGCCCCAGCAGGAGATGGGCTGTTCTCAGCCTCTGTGACAACGCATTTGTATTACGTTTTAGCCTCACAACCGTGAGAGGGACCATTCTTGTCTCCATTTCACAGATAGGAAAAGCAGACTTTAGGACTAAGGCAAGGCCACATCACTTGCAGAGCCAGGCTGTGACACGTTTGGAGTCACACCGCCCGACCTGAAACCTGTCTGCGCTAGGGGCCCACTCCGGGCACCTTCTCGCCTTTCTTCGTCTTCTTCCACTACCCTCCCTTCCAGTCCTCCTTCTTTGTCTGCTGTGGGGACTGATTGGGCCCGTAAGACCAGTGTCCGCAATTAGTTACCTGATACCTGGGCTCTAGGCCCACGCCCTCCAACTAGCAGGACCCGCAAGGGCATGGGGTTGGGCGGGCAGGCTTTGAGGGAGGGGCAGGGGCACAGGGGAGTCAGTGTGGAATTTAGGGTGGGACTGGGCCAAGCCGGGGGGGGGCTGTGGGGGCCGCGACTTCAGCACCTCGGAGAGCTCTGGCGGGCGGGGCTAGCGGGCCCAGAGGCGGGGCGGGGCGGGGCGCACGAGACCCCAGCCGGGACCCGGGGGCGCGCGCGGTGGCGCTCGCGCCAGTCCAGAGAGCGGTGTGCGATCCGGAGCCGCGCCCTGCCCTGCGCAGGTGCGCCCGCCGCGCAGGTCCAGCCCGCCGCGGCCTCTCGCCGCGCCCCCTCCTCCTTCTCTTCGGCCGCCTCCGCCGCCTCCGCCGCCTCCGCGCCGCGCTCCGCCCGGATGGCCAGGGCTGTGCCGGAGAATGGCGGAGCGAGAGAGCGGCGGCCTGGGCGGGGGGGCCGCGTCCCCGCCTGCCGCCTCCCCGTTCCTGGGGCTCCACATCGCGTCGCCGCCCAATTTCAGGTGAGAATCCCCGGCCTCCACGCCCCGCCCTTCAGCCTGGACTAATCTGCCCCGGCTCACCCCCTACCCCACCCGCTCCGCCCCCAGCACACTACACACCAGACCTCCGGGAACGAGAGGGCGGCCTGGGGATGGGGTCTCTTCCCTGGACAGAGCCTCAAAATTCCCCTCAGCCCTCAAGTCCAGACTGACAGCCGCTGCTTGTCCGTGGTGCAGGCAGCTCCCTCCGCCATTCCACGTCCTAGGCTAGGAGATTCTCAGCTGAAATTGGAGGAGGGGCGCAGAAACTGCCTTTTCTCCGACTTTGTGGTCCGGGATCTGGTATGAGATCCCAGGGAAGGCAGGCCGGCTTGCCTGTGCCGAGTCCGAAGGCTCCTATAAAGATGGGAGCAAGCTGGAATGTCCCGCGGGTCCCAGTTTCTTATGGCAGCGGACAACCTTGGTGCTGGGCGGAGGGAGTCGTGGGCCCCTCCCCCAGCCCTGCCTCGCCGGAGGTGCCTCACTCCCAGGCCTGCATGCCAGGACCCTCTGTGGATGTGGACAAGGACTGACCTTGTCAGCTCTGTGCAGGTGCGAAGGGCTCAGTCTCAGCCCAGACATCCTAGGGCCAGCTGTGGGAGGGGGAGTCTGGATTGGATGGGCCAGGAATAGCCAGGATCACTGGGGAAGGGGGAGTCCCTACTGGAGTAAGTACCCAGGGCCCTGACCTGTGCTCCCCTTCAGCCCTCTCCTTGCCCCCTATCTGGTGTCAGGCAGCGGAGAGGTGGATTTCAGAGAAGCAGACAGTGGATGTCATGGGGGAAGGGTTGATGTGCCTTCTCCATAATTCTGGCCCCGTTTGAAGAGGAGGAAGAGGAGGTGTCACTGCTCCAGAATCTAAGAGAAAAAGGCCTAGACATACCCCATTGTTCCTCCCCCTAATGAGCTGGCGCCTTCCCCTCTCCTGGGGCCCCCCAGCCAGGCCCCAGCTGGGCTCTGGCACCAGCCCCTCTTCTGACCAGGGGGTTGCTGGCTCCCTGGCCCTCAGGTGGGCAGGGACCCCTGTGGATTTCTAATGGCATCATCAGCACTAGAAAACTCCCCCGAGGCCCTGAGCTGAGCTGAGCTGGGAAGACCAGTGGGAGGGGACCAGATGGAAGAGGCCAAGCCTGAAGGCCCCAGAGCTGGGGCCTTTGTGATGGGCGCCTCAGAGGAGCCAGGCTGAGTTCTGACACGGACCCCTCCTGGCATGACACACGCTGCCTCAGGGCAAACGCTGCCTTCCTGCCAGCAGGCCCCTTGCGCTGGAAGCACAATGGGCTTAGAGGGACCTGGGTTCCAATCCTACTCCGCTACTTTCCAGCTGCAACACCCGGGCAGGTTTTTGTCCTCTCTGAGTCTCAGCTGTTAGGTGAGATCATTGATACTGATTCCTTAATATACATCAAGTCAGCCCTTAACAAGTGTCGGCCCCCACTCTGCACTTACAGGGGGCTTTCACATAGCTCCTTGCTGCTCAAAGCATTTTCCCAGTCTTGGCCTCATAACCATCCAGGGCGTGGGGGCCAGTCGGCCCTTTTCATGCTTGAGGAGGCTGAGCTGCAGGAAGGCAGGGAGGCTGGCCAAAGCACCTCGAGGAAGTCAGAGCCTGAGGCTGAACTGGAACCCAGGTCTGCGCGTTCAATGCACTCTACATCCAGGCCTTGCCTTTGACCTGGAGGATGGCTCTGACCCCCTCACCTGCCTCCTGATCCCCAGGCAACAGTGCTCTCCTCCCCTCCCTGCGTCGAGACAAGTTATCATGGACTCTTAAGTGAGAGGAGCTGGCAAGGTGGGTGCCAGGCACTGAGTGTGTGCAGTCCCAGGCCAGCCGGGCAAGGGTGGCAGCACACAAGGGCTGGGGCGTGGGCTGGCCCTCCAGGACACCACAGCCTGGCTGTGGAGACAAGGCTGGCTCGCGGGGATAATCAGAGCAGAGCCTCCGCCCCACAGAGCCTGCCCCGTGGGCTGCGCAGCCCCCGCTGCCCTTTCCCTTGTCCAGCCTCTCAGATCTCTTAGCCCAGGTTGGTTTAACCCTAGATGGTGACTGCTCTCTGGTGGATCTTTGGAGGGGTAGCCTGGGTTTGCGTCCTTGCTTAGCCTTCTTAGCTGTGTGCCCTGAGACTGAGCGCTTAACCTCCTGAGCCTCTGATCCTTCTCTGCGATGCCAATGTTGGTTTCTGCACAGGGCGGTCCTAAGACTTGCATGGGACAACACATGTTGAGCCTTTCAAGGGCTGTGGAGAGCTGCATTTGTGCAGGGCTATTGTTGTTGTTGCCATTATTATTTGTGTGCGGGTACA